ATACCAGCCTGTTATTTTCAGTCCATACATTTCAGTGACTTGCATGTTTTGTTAAGGACAGAGYCACAGAATGACTACCACAGAGGCACAATGGCGAGGCTAATTGAAGCATGTACCTTTTGTGAATGTATGTAGAGAGGGTGCATATGCCCTCCCCTCACTCCCATTTTTCACCTCCTACCGTGAAGGATTATTTTGATGTCCCCCACCCTTGCAGGACAGCTTATATTCCCAGCTGTCTCACTTGTATAAATTCTCTTTGTATGATGAGCGTTGAGATGTCTGATGTTCCTCAGTGTGGCTCACACAGCTGAACTCAGTGTTCTCATGAGGACTGGGTGTCGTTAAGTTCATCGCCTGCACCCCGTGGTGGAAGTTATCCATCGCTTTTGGATACAGCAGCTATATTTAAAAAAAAGGGTGATGATTGTTTTAGTATGATGTCTCTTTAATTGATGACATCATCAGAAGCAGGCCSGTGAGATCGGGATGAATCCCTACGGCTCTGCAGCTGCCGTATGGAAACCCTCAATCCATCTGTCCCGTTTTAGCTTTGGTTTYCTGTCTTTTTAATATTTTTGGGACATTATATATTCAGGGACTAATTGTTATTCCTGAACAAAAGTCTTATGTAAGGATTTATGAGCGACGATGATTTGATGCTGCAAAAAAAAAAAAAAAACATAAACATCCCAGTCAAACTGTTTGCACAAGATTATTGCTCACCATCTGTTTAGATGTAAGTCTTTTTAATGCACGCTGACATTCAGACTGTTYATTGTGGTACTTTTATTCATAAACTCAGCGCAGTTTGTATAATGCCCAGGAAGAATCTCATTAGCAGGTTGTCTGGTTGTGTGTAATTGTTTAGAAATTAGTGGACGTAATTGCTCTTGCTCATTTCTTAGGAGAGGGCTGACAGATCCACTGAGATCTCCTTTTCAAGAAACCTTATCRTCGGTGTTTCAATAGCTTGGGCTTTCTGAAATTAATAAATGCATTTTAATAATTGCAATCCAGTTTGCTGTTTTTCATGTCTAGAGGATTTGCTTCAGACATCATTTCCACTTTTATAGCTCTGAGAGTAATGCTAGAAATGAACTGATGTGATCACTCACCCAGCTGCTTTGTTGGACTCACAAGTCCTGTTGAAATTATTATTTGTACAATGCCATAATTTGAACCRTTTGACATTTTCATCCTGATGTTTTTCATCACTGACTTGATGTGGAAAGTCTGTGTACCAGCCCAGACATCAACACAGGGTTTTCTGAAGTGTTTGGTTGTGCTGTACTTCCAGGCTGTAATGGAAAAGGCTAAAGTTAGCCGTTCAGAGCAGAGCAGGTTGTAATGAMAGCAGTCGTCAGCAGCGTTATTATTAGTTAAACACCAATTTGTGACAATAAACCACCTGYAGTTGGGATAGATTTTTTGATATGTAATGCCTTTTTTTTTGTCTGTAGCTGAATTTAATATTAAAATGTCCAGAAAGCTTTTGCTGTTTATAACGGCAACACAATATTTACCTGAACTCTGCTGTTTTTCTTGGTTAGAAGTTGTGATGAAGTTTGTCTTAGAAGGTGTAAAACTCTTGCAATTTTGGGATTATTTGTTCTGACATGTTTATTTGTGTGTTAACATTGSTTTTCTTTCTCTTCTGTTGGGGCACATATAAATATTTACACTACTAATACATTTATTGCTCGGTTTTRGATCACAATTGTTAGTCCAGTGTAATTCTGTTCGACAGTGCAAAGCCTCTCCAATAAAAGCCTTCCAACGTGACCTGTAAAGTGCAAAATAATGAGCTAATTTATTGTTCCTCCACTTCCTACAAGTGTGCTGTCTTGTCACTGACTRCATTTATCAAGAGCCAGGTTGTTAAGTAACAGATACGGGGCAGAAAAAAAACAGACTGTTTGCAAATTCTCCCTTTCCATTAGCATGGCTAGCACAAGCTTAGCATAGAYTGTGTGATGGTAGGATTACAGTCAGGTGTTAAAATTGGATGCTAATCCTTGTTAGCGCTGCTTTTTAAAGCCCATGGCCGTAGTCAACGTGGTAGTCTCTTACTGACACACAAGGCTAAAAGATGTGGGTAGGTTACCTAATTTTAATTAACAGTGGAACATRTGCTCTTCTTAGTGCTGACTGATTTTTCTCTCATCATAATGCGGAGAATATGATAAAGAGAAAACAGATTATGTGAAAATTCTGTCATACTAAATAACCAACTGATCCCAAATAACCTGTAGCTGGATAAAGAGACTGTTTTCAGTAACTAGTAACTGGATTTGTTGAAATTTTAGCCCCCTTCCTTCCAGCCTTGTTCTATAGAATAATGATCATCTTTGAATAATGATAACTGAAATTAGCTTTTTAGCTCCTGCTGTGATTGTGACTGGATGTAATTTAGTTATGGTTTCATTGTCTAATTTCTAAAGATTTTATGTGACAGTCCAGGTCTGTTTGCTGTTGTAGCCTACTTTAAAAATGGTAATTATTTCATAGTGTTGTATACAGTACTACAAAGTCATACTTGAGTAAAAGTACAAGTATCTTACCATAAAAATTCTTTAGTACAAAAGCTATTAGATACTTTTAAGAATTTTACTCAATTATCTAAAGTAAATATATGATATAAAATGAAGTATATAAGTAAAAGCATTGAGAAAAATGAGTGGTTAAATATTCCATAATGACATTTATTGGGAGGTACCCCCCCC